TGGGAGGGGAGGGGCGGGGGGGGGCTTGTCGCCGGGGTGGTGGGGGCCAGGGGGGGGCCAGAGGGGGCCGGTGGTGCCATGGGAGGGTGGCCTGAGATTGGGCAGCAGCCTCTGACCAAGAACAAGCTCCTGTCTGATGGAGGGAACTGCTGACCCTTCCTGAGTAAAATGGCACCTTTGTTTGGAGGTGTATGTGTTTGTGCCTATGTGTTTATGTGTGTGAGAGGAAGAAAGAGTTGTTGAAGCTGTGGGAACTGTGTGAAGTGCTTTTATTTCCTCGGCGTTTCCCTGAAACTTCTCTCAATTTGTGATTTTCCCCGAAGCCACAAGTGAAGGAAAAGGAAACAAAAGTGGAATTATCTGCTGTGTCCAGAGCAGGGATGGATATTTCCACTTGTATCTCTGTGCTGCTCCACAGTGATGTAGGGACTGAATATTTTAGGTTAATCCTGGCCAAAGAACACCGGTCTTCTCTCCAGTGATATCCTGGAGGGGGTCTGGGAGATGAGTGTATAGAAGGAGTGGATTTCTGTTCGTGTGTGTGTAGGTGTGATGTTCTCTAAGAGAGAAATAAGGAAGTAGAAAGATTGAGGTAGCTGAGTAAAATGTGTCGCTAATTCCTTGTAAAATTAGACACCTAGACTTATTTAGTTGTTTACTTCATATATTACTAATTATGTCCCTACTTCCAGGGAGTGTCTCTCCTCTCACCCTGAGTGAGTTTAGAGTGAAATAGCAGCAACATTAAACCTGGAACACCTGCAGCTGAGGAACTGCAGTTCCCTCCATCACAATCTTCTACTTCTCCTGCACATTACAGTCCATGTCAAGCAGACATTGTGTTTACTTGACCCTTCTAGCACAGGGGTCCCCAACCACCGGGCTGAGGACCGCTAGGTGGCCGTGAATCGTTTGGTATCGGGTCGCATAGAAAGAATCAAAACCTATTACATTCGTCTGCCTAGTATTTTATTTTGTAAAAACAATCACTTGGATCAACTTCTTATAGCCATTCACCCAGTCGCAGTTTGTTTTCATGCACAGGTAACATGTCGCTGGATGTAGAGACAGAAGAGGGCTCCAAAACTGCCACCAGAAAAAAAAAATACTATGCATTATATAAAATAATAGTTATATGTACATTAGGTATGTGTAACAGTTAAATGATATATGATGACCTTTGATGTTATGTCATCCTTTGATGTTATGTCATGACCCCCCCCCCCCCCCCCCCCCCCCCCCCCCCCCCCCCCCCCCCCCCCCCCCCCCCCCCCCCCCCCCCCCCCCACACACACACACACACACAACCTTGCTGCTGTTCTGTGGACAGATTCTGCATAAAACTGGTCCGTGGTGCAACAAAGGTCAGAGACCATTGGCCTGGCAGACAACAAAAATTATCTTCATTGTTTTAGATTCCAGACATTCCTCCTTGTGTTTACTGCCTCCTCAATCTGACCTCACTAGATCTGTTCACACCCCTGTTTTGGAGGGAAAATTCCTCCCTTTGTGTTCTTCACAAACGTCACATTCCATTGAACCTGTGACAACTTTGCCCCCTTTACTTAGGTG